CTGGTTCGACTCCTGGCTTTGCTATTTGTTGGCTGTGTGGCCTCAGACACTCCACCACTCGATATCCTCAGATGTGAACATGGGCGCCATAGATTACAGAAAATCTTTTCAGAATTATCGCAGCTCTAAAATTCCAGGGTTAGAGATGATGCTGGTGTTTCCATATAGACAGATAGGGACAATTCTAAAAGTATGTTTCCTTTTTGCCATCCCATTCATTCTTTTAGGGACATATATTGATAGGTGTTTTTATCCATATAAAAAAGCTTTGGATTCTTGAATTTGAGCGTTTATTCTGAGGGAAAGCCAGAAATATTTGTGCTAAAATGTATCATTGTACTTCCTTTTCATTACCTGGAGATGTTTGCCATTTTGACCAACAACAAATACTATAGCTCTCCCTCCTGGGTAGTTCCCGGGGGCTTCAGATAGATGTAATGGCCTCGGTGAAAGGCCAAAGTGTTATTGTTTCAAATACCCAGATACTTGGGACAGATTGTCTTCAATGTTCTCTTTTTCATAGAGATGTGAATAGAAGCTGGTCCTACGTAGCACTCAGTGAGGAATCAATAAAAAAAGTTAAGTTGAAAAGAAAGATTTAACTTCTGGTGTTCACTTGGGCGCAGCACTTAAAAATTGGGTTACTCCCACTTTAGAAATAGAGAATAATATTTTTGCAGTAGCATATTTTACAGGTATTTTAAATAGGACAGTATTCTATTTTGCCTATGGGGGGTGTCATATATTAATTGCTACATTCTATGTATATTTATTTAAGAGAAACCTATTTGATAATATTTAAGAGTCAAATGAGTCTTATCTTTTCTCTTTAATCTCCTGGATTTCTCCTCATTCTTGTTTTCAGTCTTCACTTTCAAATGATATAAAACCTAAATTCTAGTATGTCCTTGCTGAAACTCATGGTGCACCAATGGTCCATTCACCGGTGTTCCTTACAACAAAGTCACCATCCCTAGGAAGGCTCAATTTTCAAGACCAATGGCGACTGGAAAAGGATTTATAACCAAGTTCTTTGAATCAGAATAAGTCAATTTCCTCATCAAAAATATTAGTTACCAAGGTCTAAATGAGGTCATTTCAAATGCCAGGCAGAAACAGTTGTCAGTGGTCTACCCTGAGTAAATCCTCTAACTATAAATTTCAGAATGAAGCAAGGCAGATTTTTTTTTTTAAATCATAGCACTGAAAAAATTAAAAATGATCATATCTCTGCTTAAAAATAATGGTTAAAACAATAACACCAGTGACTACTGGAGAAACATTTTTCTCTGATATCCAGTGTACCGAGTTCATCATTAATATGTGTTTCTGCCTGGTAATACCAAATATATAATACATTTCTCTATATATGTCATTAAAAGTTGCCAAAATAGAAAGTATAAAATTTTGTAAGTGCAATGGAAATATTTTGTAAGATATGTAAACTGGAGGCTGCACCAAGTTGCTAAAAAATGATTTGGTTAAAGGGTAAATACACCTTGTACATCATAATGAAAGTCTTATAGGTAGAGGTGGAGATTAACACTTCAGGCTGTCTACAGAATATTAATAAAATTCAATATATTTTCTAAAAGGTATAATTTATATTTTGTGGAAATGAGACCCTTTTCTAATAAAATTCTTCTGTCCTTCATTCTGTTCATATAATTTTGCTATAAATCATCCTGTAGGAATTTCCCCCCTAAATATTCATCTCAGGGAAAACCTATTTAAATAAGCCCTCTTAGCAAGATCTTTCAGAATTAAAATTACACCATGAGTGATACTCATCCAATATGTTTCCTTGTATAAGATTTTCTTTTGCTTACAATAATATTTTTGCTAAATCATATTATGTTAAAATTGCTGATTTGAAGTGACTTTGATAGTAAAGAAACACTGCTTTTAAAGATGAACAAATTACCGTGGCCTTTTTAATTGTATCACCTCTGAGTCTGTACCTTTGCAGCCCCTTTCTGCTCCCCATCTACATATGAAGGAAGAAAAAAAATTGCTGCCGGATATACTAGGTTTCCTTGGTTTCTGGTAAACTGGAATATTATGCTTTCATACTAGGTTTCCTTGGTTTCTGGTAAACTGGAACATTATGCTTTCATAGTCGTCTGAAGCTAATTTTACTCTACTGTCTGGTAGTCATTAGAATAAATTCTTCTATTTTATTTATGATAGGAATATAATAAGTCAGGCATTCACACACACACACACACACACACACACACACACACACACGCACGCACACACGCACACACACACACACACACATTAATGTCAGGCCCTATGCAAGTTCTCACAGTCAGGGGTGTCCCTCGAGGGTATTACAGGAGAGTTCTATGGTCACACAGACTGACTCTGTAGAGCTCCGAGAAGGTTTTTGATGGGGTAATTAGCAAACCTCTTGCTTTTGTAAATTATCAAGCGCTTGACAAATGAATGTTCACAGGCTTTAATCTGTTTCTTATGTCTGTGCTGTAAGGTAGGTGGAATAAGCTTTATCATCCCCATTTTCTATGTGGCAACCGGAGTTTAGTGGGGTTAAACGACGTTCCAAGTTTATAAAGCTCCCAGGACTGTTTTTGATGCAGAGTCCAGGACTCCCCTGCTGTGCTTCTGTCAACTCACCTTTTTATCCTCCTCGGCTCTCTGGCCCTCACTTCTTGGCCCTCAGCCTCAAGCAGGAGATGAACCAGGGCTCAGCTTAAATGTAGACATTTATTGTTTGTTGTGGGCTATATCTGAGAAGCAGTAGCGTGCACAGCTTCCAGCATCCTTGCAAGCATTGTGTGCTCACTAATGCCTCTGTGTGGGACATGGGACATCATGGGATGGAATATAAATATGTTTGGGAACAGAAATCACTGCCCTGACAATCTGTGACTTCCAAAACCATTTAGCTTCCTAGAGAAGAGTGTGAAGTAAAGAGTGGTTGCCACCTTCAGTACAGTTCACAAGTATTTACTGAGTGCTAATACTATTTATAAAGTATAATATTTAGAAAATACTAGAAATTATATACTATTATACCACAATTATAAAATATAATATTACTATGAATTGAACACTGTTCTAAATATCTGAACGTGAATAAATCCACTTAATCCTCACAATAATGTTATTGTTATTGCTACTGTTATTGATTACAGCTATTGTTTTCTTTTTTTTTACTTAATTAAGGAAACTGAGGCACAGAGAGGTTAACTTACTTGTGCAAATACAACCAGGATATGAGGGACCCGGCCAGAACGTGGGCCGTGTGGTGCTGCCTCTCAGGATCTCAGGAGCTGTGCTAAGTGGTGAAGATATCAAAATCAGCAAGGTTTGCTTTCCAGTAAACCCAGAGTCTATATGGGCGACAAACTTAACTGAAGTGCAGTTCCTTGTGAGAGTTGCCACAGGAGAGGCAGGGGCGAGGTACAGTTAACACACAAAGCCTAGCACACCGTTCCGGGGCTCTCGGGGAGGCGTTTCTGGATGCAGTGAGGCTTCCCCTGAGCCAAGAAGGATGAATGAGAACCTGTCACCCTTTCACACCTGGGCAAGCTGACCCCAAGTCCCAGGAATAGCACCTTCGAGGCACGCAGGCAAGAAATGACACAGTGTTAGACACTCCCAGATTTGGCGCAATCGGGGCACAGAATGCCAGGCAGTGATGAGGAGAAACGGAAGCTAAAAAGGTAGACAGGGGCCGGGTCTTGAAGGCCTTTTTAGAACACACACAGTAGGTTGGATTTCATCATGGAGACCATGGGGAGCCACGATAGGGTTTTAAGTGGGAGAGTCATGAGATTTGTGTTTTAGTCAGAGACTCGAGTCAGCAGAGAGGTGGGATTAGAGGTGAGATGACAGGCAGTCAGACTCTGAGAAATGATAGGAGCATCTTAACGATCTGAAAGAGAGAATCTGAAAGAGAGAACTGTGGACTTTCACCCATTATTCCTAGGGTTAATATTATTATTTTAAATATACTTTTATTGATTTCAGAGAGAAAGCGAGAGGGAGAGAGAAACATCAATGATGAGAGAGAATCATTGATCGGCTGCCTCCTGCATGCCCCACACTGGGGTTCGAGCCTGCAGCCCAGGCATGTGCCACAACCTGGAGTTGAACCGTGACCTCCTGGTTTATAGGTCGACGCTCAACCACTGAGCCACACCGGCTGGGCTTTAGGGTCAATCTTATTAACATCATTAGTTTCCTTTAGTATTTTGCCTAAATTGTTCAGGTTATTCATCTGCCTTGGAGGAGAAAGACAACACATCAGTTTGAATACTTTCTGCTTCAAGTAACAAAAACCACAGTGGAAATACTTAAGCAACAAGGAAAATGTATTATTTTACATAGGCATTTTTGAGTAAGGCACCTCTGGTTTGGTTAATGCTGTAGCTCAATGACAACATCAAAGAATAATTTTCTCCCTTCATCTGCTGTATCTCCTCAGTGTCACCTGCCTCCCCTTTGCCTAGGTGCCCTCATAGTCTCAGAATGGCTGCCACCGTCCCAGGAACGGCATCAGACCAGGGAAAAGCTCAGCCTACCCTGGCAGATGTGGCTACGTATACAGATTTAGGGCCCTTGTAGCAAGGAAGGAAGCATTTGGAGAGACAACAGTGCCTGCACAGAATGCAGAGAGTAAACATTCAGTTTCTTGCATTAAAAGAATAGAAGTGGGATCACTGGGTCAAATGGGAGTTCCATTTTTAATTTTGTGAGGAAACTCTGTACTGTTTTCCAGAGTGGCTGCACCAGTCTGCATTCCCACCAGCAGTGCACTAGGGTACTCTTTTCTTCACATCCTCGCCAGCACTTGTGGTTTGTTGATTTGTTGATGATAATCATTCTGGCAGGTGTAAGCTGATACCTCATTGTCATTTAGCTAAGATCTGAAAACAGCCATTGTGCCCATCAGTAGATACATAAGTGGATAAAAAAAGCTGTGGTATATTTATACATGATAATACTAAGCAGCTGTAAAACAGAAGATCTTGCTCACTTTAGTAGCACATATACTAACATTAGAACGATACAGAGAAGATTAGCATGGCCCTTGCGCAAGGATGACACGCATATTAGTGAATGAGAGAGACCAGACCTGGGAGATTGGTTCTCTGAGCCCAGAACAGCTACAGTACAGACTCTTGCCCGCCCTTCTATCGGGACAAGTGACCCAAACCTCAGAGTGATCCCAGGGTTTGTTTTGCGTTAAAATCAGTAGTACCTTTTGTAAAGACAAATGCAAATTAAAAATAAGAGGCTTAATTTTTTTCTTGTTGAAAATAAGGGAAAATAATAAGAAAATAATGGCTTCCCCTCCTGTTTCTCAGAGCATTTACCTTAGAAAACTTATTACATGTACTTTCTCATCTATTTGGAATAAAGTTGAGTCTGTATTTGAACTGCACAGGTCCACTTAGATGGAGACTTTTTTTCAGTAAACATACTGTCAGCCCTCCATGTCCCTGGGTTTCACTTTAGTGGATTCAATAAACCACAGATGGGAGACAATATTTTTTATTCCTAATTGCAATTTGTGGATGTGAAGGGCTAACTGTATGCATTGTTCTGTGTCATCTTACATAGAGACTTGAGCATCCCTGGATTCTGGTATCCTTGGGGCGTGGGAGGGGTAGTCCTGGGATCAAGCCTCCTTGGATACTGAGGGACAACTAAGTTTAGGGGGATCAAAAGTTATACACAGACTTTCAACTGGGGTTGTGCCCCTGACCCCTGCATTGTTCAGGAATTAACTGTATATAAAAACCCTTTTGGAGCTTTCTGACATGGGAATGTCATTATCAAAGAATCAGTCATCTCTTTAATAAAGTGAAAACATCAGGGAAAATAGTGCCCATATCTCCCAGTAACTGTGGGAGGGTAAGAGCCTAACTAGAGTGAGTTCCTTGATCCAAGTTGCATATCTACCCCCTGTCATAAAGATGTAAGAATTTTGTCTTTTCTCTGGATAATGCCTATTAGCCAAAAGAGACGGTCACCTCATCAGATGAAGTTAGGGTGAACTCCTTGTGGCAAATGGTGCTGTCAAGTCCTCTGTCTTGAGGACTAGTTACTGTGCATCTCAAGAACATGTGTAATCTTTCAACCATTCGACCATTCGACCAGTAGCTATGATGCGCAATGACCACCAGGGAGCAGACACTCCAACTGGTAGGTTAGCTTGCTGCTGGGGCCCTGTTGGCCCCAAATCTGGTTTACTCGCACCAGATTCCCTTTCAATGTGCACAAATCCGTGAACCAGGCCACTAGTTCAATAATAAAAGTGTTTTCTTTCTCTACTACCTTTTTGGAGAGGTTTCCCGTGTTGGAAGAATATTTGTTTTTTAAATTATATTTCTTCAACACTATATTGTTATATTGATACATTATCTTACCTACTTATGTTATATTTCTACACGTCTCTTCCTTCCTTCCTTCCTTCCTTCCTTCCTTCCTTCCTTCCTTCCTTCCTTCCTTCCTTCCGTCCTCTCTCCTTACCTCCCTCCCTTCCCTCCTTACCTCCCTCCCTCCCTCCCTCCCTCCCTCCCTTCCTTCCTTCCTTCCTTCCTTCCTTCCTTCCTTCCTTCCTTCCTTCCTTCCTTCCTTCCTTCCTTCCTTCCTTCCTTCCCAGCTGTCTTTTATCTTTTTCTGTTTTACTTTTTCTTTCCCTTCCTAAATTGGCATGTAAGTCTATTCTTCTGCATCTAAATTATTCAGTATAGATGGGTTAGTACATTGAGAAGATATATATCACAGATGTTTTGAGAAAAGGTGATAGCATGGATCCCAACAATTAAAACACTGGCTTAATCCAAAATGTGCTTTTCCTTGCAGCAGGAAGTCTTAGGGCTGGGTCCTCAGGTGTTTAACCTTGAAAATTTAAAACAAAGGAAGTTTCTGGACATCACAAAGCAAGGTGTTAATTAGAGGAAACTGGTAAATGTAAAAAATATAAGTGTGTTCTGATCCAGTTTCTATTGATACAATATAGGAAGGGATGAGCTAATGTGGCTCCCAGAGTCCTTGGTGGGAGGAGGTTTGTGGGAGAAACTACGAGCCTAACTTAAAATCTGCACACCATTTATGTTCCCGAACCTTTTAATAAGCGATAGCAGCTATGTTCCTCATTGAATATTTTCCTTTGCTGGCATAATAAATACTTAACTTTTTGAAGCCAAAATACACATCTGAAGTAAACAATGAACTATCTCTTAATTCTCTAAGAAGGCGTAGACTCTGAAATTGTTTGCACAATATTGTGACAATTTCTGAACCTTTTTCACCTCTGATATTTGACCCTGGTCTTGCCAAAGATCCATAAAGCAACTTCTGACTTAAGAATAAGTACAAATAAATTTCTCACATTTTGCATAGCCACAGACATACTTCCACGTTGGACAGCACTATTTAGTACTACCTTAGGTCTACTGAAAAAAAATCTATTTTTTTAACCACAAATTCAAAGCTCACCAGTGTTACTTTTCTTAATTAAGCTGGGCTGCTCTCACAATTCAAAAAGCTTCATTTTTTTTTGTCTTAAATTAAACTCCCTGTGCAATGCAGTGACCAAAACAAATAATCTATGACCTACAAACAAGACACTTGCATTCCCCGAAGAATTACGTTCTTGTTTTCTCTAGGTTATACATCTTTGAACCTCTCTTTGCCGTAACGACCTTCTGGTGCTCATTAGCATGCTGATTACCATTAACACAGCTATAATGCAGCAATTTTCTTGGTGTATGTCGAGGAGAAATGCTCATCTGAATGTAGTCAGGGGACAAAATTAACTGCATAAATCTACTGCGCAAACTGGATCTCGTCCAACTTCACACACGTCGTCTTTCCTCTCCTAGTTGTGACATCATCATCCAGATTTCCACTGACGGTTTAATAAGTATCTCAGGGTTTCCTATTTAATTTCCTTTCATCTCTGTATGTTACATTTCAAGTTAATTTCAGGAGTGCTTGACCACCTTATTACCATGACTCATAATATATATTTATTTACCTTTCATCTTTTAGCTCTGTTCCTTAATGGCTCTTTTAGGAGATTCATATCTACTTTACTTTTTACATATTTTTTCACATTTATATCTTTTCTAAAAAACATCGGCTAATAGAGTAGGATTTCACTACACCCGTACATTTATGGAGCTGAGAGCAACACTGAGATATGTAAGCCATATGTATTTTAGGAGGGAGGCATAAATGTTATTCTTTTGCAAGGTAGAATTATATGACTAGTCATGGAAGGAAATGAAGTGTTTCATGGCAAGAACAAGAGCTATGAGATACCTGGACTTTTTTTCTGGTCCCTGTCACAGGCATTTGATAGTTCTTGACAGCACTGGGCTCCCAGCATGTATTGAGGATTGATAACTCTCAGCCTGCAGGTTAAGAAGCTGATAGGAAAGCTCATGTGACCCTCTTAAATTTATAGTCTAAATTGTTCTTTGAGGATGGTATTTCAAATATTCTAGCCAATGAGCAAATGGCACCAAGGAAATGATAAAATTTGCATTACTGGAATGATATGTGTCAGAGTCAAAATCACTATTAAAATAAGAGTTGATGTGATCACAAAATAAACCACAATATGCATGCTCACATTAAAAAGGGAAGGAGAAGCTATGCATTTTATAATCAAGAATGGGCTCACATTCAAATTTATATTTTTTTAACAACAATAAGCTAGGGCCATTTTTTATTTTTAACACTGGACAGAAATTCTATGTGTGCTTTTCCAGTTTAAGGAAGCAGACGGAGAACCATTCATTTGCTGCCTCAGGGTGATTAAACTCGATGATGAGTCTCCCTCTGGTAACTTCCCGGCATGGAGGGAGCTGATCAAAGGGTGTGGTAGGAAAAATAAACTCGCATGCCATTTCCAATCCACTCTGATCCACTCTGTGTTAGTAATATGAACAAAGTGCTGTGGGCGCTCCTGGAAGGGGAGATTAATTCAGATTCTTCCCTGTGGGAATAGTGTTGAGGGGCATGCAGAGAGGATGTGGGCTGATGTTAAGGAAACAGGAAATATTTGAATTGAGTTTTGAAGATGGAGTAGAATTCCATTAGATTAAGAGGGGTGGAGGAGAGAACCCTCTCTTCTCACTTTGACAATTACAACTGTAGAAGTAGAATCACTGAATGTAGAAGTTGGTAAGAACTTCAATGATGTTTTCTACTGCTCACCCCTCCAATTACAGAAGAAGCACTACTCTCTGTAGCTCTGACCTGTTTGTGTGATTGCTGACAGGCCATTAGGTTTGTAAATACATCATTAATGCAAAGAATGCTAGGGAACTTGTTAATATTCCCAATTTGTGCTTTATATACAAATAAAAATTGTAATATGATGAAACAGACAAGAAATGTATTTGTATTTGTCATTAGTCTCACATAAAATATTTGAATTTAGTATATGTGAACATTCATTCTTCTGAATGTTTGCTCAATAAGATTCAAGTTCTGCTTTGAATGAGATTCTTCAAGTACATCAAGTAATAGTCATTGCTGTAAAATTGATTGCTTGATTGAACCTAGTTCTCTCTATATAACCCATTCCTTCTGCACTTATGCTCTCAAGGCATGATTTCTTTGATAAAAGCAGTAACCTCAAAAGGTTAATATAGCTTCCCAGCATTCCCAACTGATGCCTAAGGAGAAACTCTTTTAAGCAAAATAGTTGAACGAATGCTCATGAAATTCTGCACACTGTCCAGAACACATAGGTGAAGTCTCTGCAACCAAGAGCATTGCTGCATGGCAGTCAGAAATAGTTTGCCTCAGACTGAAAATATGTAAATTGGTATGTGTCTAGGTTGTGAAAGTTCAGCTGCAAATGCTTATCTATCTATCTATCTATCTATCTATCTATCTATCTATCTATCATCTATCTATCTATCTATCTATCTATCATCTTCTATCATCTATCATTATTCAGTTATTTAGTCATTCATTTGATATACAACATCTATCTTTTGCATTTTTGTCTACTATATTCCAGTCATTCTACTAAGTACTAGTTATAAAGGCATGTCAAAAGCAGTTCGCATTAAGAAAACATAATATTATAGAAAAAAATAAGTCAGG